AAATTTTATTGCTCCGTCGTAATTATAACTTAAATCACGTTAGTAAATATCACCATTTCCGATCTTGGAATGTTTGGGCCGAATATTTAGTCTAGATAAACATTTTAGCGTTTCTTAATTCGTAAATCTCGCTCCTTGTTGTTATTAGGGTCTGAAATTTGTGTGCAAAATTAGAATACTGTCGTCATTACCGTTTCACTGTTGATGAGTAATCAGAACTCTTAAATAATTTCAAGTATTGACCACTAAGGAATCAATCTATTCGATTAGATGGTATGGCCGGCTACAAGTTGCTGATGTTTTAACATTTTCACCACTCCAACCGAACTCAATGTCTAGTTTACTAGCAAGCATGACTTCACAAATTGTTCCCCGTTTTATGGACTAGTAAAAGTAGTTTTTCCCCCTAACCCCAGTAGTGGCTGCTGATTTTAATCAAGATTGTTAAATGCACTCGTAATAAGTAGTTATAACAAGGGCACAGCGCGTGCCTTAGCATGTGACGTCCCAGCTAATCATGTGATGTATTAACTGGCCTGTTTTGTGGTCTACGGAGAAAAATGACGCCGTGTGTTTCATCACATGCTTAATTGGACTACACACAATCCACCGGGGAAGGTGTGTGAGTGGCGACATGAGAGCTGATGAACAGGGCTACGTGGAAATCGCGAATTCCATCATACCGAATGGCCAGATGTTAGCAGGAATTCGAAGTCGTTCTGTCAACCACCAATCTGTCATTTGTGTTAGCAGGTAAAATATGCAGCCTGCCACAATCCCACACCAGAAAAAGGACATCTCTCTTTGTGTGTGCGTACGTGCGTATGTCAAATCAGTGAATGGACTTACAGCTTGTTGCATTCCAATGTCCAATTTAGCCAAAATCATGGACTCCAATGGCCCATAGCTCCTGTCTTAGCCTATTCAGGTAGCAAGTTTACGTATCATGTGGGATTTAGAAAGCGATGTACATTGTATCTGCTAATCACACATGGCCTATTCTTGTCGATCGAAGGGAATCGCGTTAGTTATCTCTGTTAACGAGCAAGTACGGGATTTCACTAATCCTCGTGAGCACAGCTTCATCCTATCAGGTGTCTGCATAGTACAACGAGGATGATGCAATGACCTTTAAGCCCCTTATTTTACTTATCTTGCAAAGTGCACGTTCTATTGTGTTTTACCGCTTTCATCACTTCTCGCAATTTTAAATCTAATAAACTAAGACCTTGACGTTTTCCACAAATTTCGTTAGCCAATCAATCCAAAACGAGGAATCAGTGCAGTAATATAAGTTAGGGATCAAAAAACAGGGATACACTACATGAGAAAAGGAGTACATGACATGAGACCCATCACGTCTCCGTGCGAAATACTCCATATCGTTCACAAATGCTTTCAAGATGCGTGTGCGAACGTGAGTTAAATCAATTGTCCGGTCTTCACTGCACGCACCGAGGCTCGTTCAGAGATCGAATATCAGGCATTCCTGTTTAAACGAATGATTTTTCACGCCTACGGACCGCGATCTTACTGTAACAATAAATTAGTTGAGCCCCTCGTTGTCTAATAGAGTCCCTCAGCTCTTGTCAGGGCTTCTACGAACCTTTGGAGGTGAAAATAGTGTCTTTAAAACTAATTAGGTCGCCACAACAGGACACGTTTGATGGCGCATTTGTAGACCCCAATCTCACCGTTCAGCCGCACACACGCCTCTTGTGTGTTGTTGTGTGTGCGCGTGTGTTTGCGTCCGACCGGCGACTTGCTGACGCGACCTTGGACGCTGAGTCAGCCGCGTCTGGGACAAGCATGTCTTGAAGTTCAGCCAGTGTGTGGCTTACCTAAGGGACTGTCTCCGCCATGTTTGAAGACCACGCACCTGAAATTAACGTGTCCCAAGACAATGGAATAACCAACTCACACACACACAAGCAAGAAATCTTGAAATTATGCTTTGATTGTACAGAATTGGGTGTAAACTGGTCAAAAATTGGCGGATTTTTAAGTCGTAAGGTGAGAGTTGACTTGAATATTCTTCACAGATGAGATAGCGGGTTCCACAAGTGGTACTGAGTCTGTCGTCTAACCGCCTGCACACAAAGGACCACTAGCTAGGCCCCAATTTTAACAGACAAATCGGGAAGTGAGCAGAAGTTTGATACAGTTTAACGCTGTAAGAAAGAAGGTGTTAGGTTGCAGGACATACCCGTGGTGTCGCGCATTTGGGATTGGTGCGACCCCGATTTGGTCTTTTCTCTATTCTTCTCGTGGGATGTCTGTGTCGTTTGGTCTGCGTTCAGGGTCTGCCCGCTTCCTGGCCAATTGGATGTGCGATTGGCGCTGGAAAGATACACTAAAATTGTTCGAAGTAACTTGAAATTTTTCCCAGAAAAATAGGACCGCATTACTCTCTACAGGTTTCACTTAATCCCATCATCAGATGCCTCCTCGTGGTTAGCGATTTCAGAGGTGAAAGTCTCGTGTAGATGGCTGTTAAAATCCGAGAGCTCAATCACTTACTGTTGCATGAAATGACCATGATTTTGAGTTATAAAATCCTCATCTAGTTGCCGGAAAAAAATTAGCAAAAACAGGAAAGAAAACCAGGGCTGTCAGTATCGTTGTCCTAAAACTGTTCCATCACACCGATGTCTTGAGGGCATGCTGCTTTTTCAAAACACCAGTTGCTTCAAAAGCAATCCTGGCGCAGCGATTGAAAAGTTGCATTGACCCGGCAAGTTTTCTGACGGCGAAGACACTTCAAAGGAACAATTTCGTCAGAACTTGTAGTCGTGGCGAATATTTTGCATTAATGAATACACTCCGGCGCATAACAACCGGCGAGTATAACGCACACACAGCGTGTGTTAACGCCGTGTTTTTTTTGGTTCAGTTGCAATTAACTGGGCTATCGTGCCCTTTCGTGTGGCTTATTGCTAGGTTGATTGCCTAGCAGTTTGCCAGGAATCATGTTGTGGAACTTCCTCGTACCAATCAAGGTCTAGAATCCCTCGGAATGAAGAGGACGATCAAGCTCCGCATCGAACTCGTGTAAATTTGGGCATTCGTAAAAACACCACTTTAATAGGCAAATATAACAGCTTTGCATTGGGAACGCATTTTCAGACATAGTTATTAAAAGCCAGTATTACAGCATGAAGAAGGGGCAGAAAATGACTTAAATGATTTTTAATTTCTTCTTAAGCATATAAACTAACTTTTCGATTTCCCTGAAGGCAATTTTTTCTCACCAAAATGGAAAGTTTTCTCTGCGTCAATGAGTTTCGACTGATTTTCGAGAGCCGACGGTGATTTTATGTCATTGAGTTAGAATGTCACTATTCAAACGGCGTTTAGAAAATAACCAACATGAGCCAGGGAAAGAGACTGGATTCTTGGTTCTACCACGATGACCGGTAACTCTCTCACTTCTAACATGGTTACTTGTATTGCAATTTGTTTAAGCTCATTTGCGGGATGCGCGGGGAAAGTAATTGCCAAGGGCTTTTGCATGCTGCGTTTTTTTTTCAGGGAAATTCGAAATGCCATTAGGGTCCATTCAGTGAGGCCAGATCTCGTTTTCCAGGGAAGTACAGCAAGAAACATAACTAATTATAAACCAAGCTGATATTTAACACTATGAACAGACAGTAGGTAAGGACCAAGATCACGGCAGCAAAAAACACTTATTCGATGCTTGAAATATCATGGGAATGATTTGACAGGAGCAGTCAAATTGGCACTCACCTGGTGGCAAGAAGTGCCTAATCACATTGAAGCGCCCGCTAGACGGTCAAAACAATCCTAGTATTCACCAATGTATAGCTCTTTTGAGGCGGTAAATCCCCTTCTCAGTTTCATTTACCGTTTGCCTTTGTAGTGGTTGCCATCGCTGTCGGTTCAGTGGTCACAAGTATCTTGGGAAATATGTCTTTATCATAATTGAGTTGTCCTCGCGTTGCTACAAGAAGCAAATAATGTATGCCTGCGTGTCCTTTACTGAGATATCCAGCAGTTGGCCAATAGTTTCACTTTTGGAGGTTGAACCTGCCCTGAACTTAACTCTTGGAGGATACTCACACCCCGAAAATTTCCAGTTTCTATCGACGGGAGTAATGCCAATACCAGTGCATTGTGAAAAATGGCAAAGAAGTCACACAATAAGTGACCGCAATTAATTTACACCAATGACTCACCTTGTTTGTTTTTTTGACCTGCACCACTTGGCCCTTAGCCAGTCTAACCCCACCCTGGCAAACATTGTGTCTAACATGTCGTTAAATGTAATCACTTTATCCCAAGTCATCGCAATTGATAACTTCGCTCATTTGTTTTTAAATAGACATTTGTTTACTGCGCATTTTCGGGGCATTAACTGACCTTGGTCCCGTGTACTTGCCTAAATCAATAGAACTACAACTCATGATCGAATACGTAAAGGGATCTTGAATTTTTTCCAACACAAACCCCGTTTTTGACGTGGAATCTCATCAGCATTCAGAAGGCAGCTTTTCGTGCTTATATCTTGTCAACCAACATCTTGAAAACCACTATATGGTTATAAAAAACTTGTCTTTGGAATCCCAGAAGTCGAAACAGTTGACCTTCTGATACAAAATTGCATTTACGTGCCTAGATGCTGGAGGTATTGCTTACCCCGTGTGGTCATCTAACAATTTAGGTATGCAATACCTGATTTTTAGGTAAGAAAATATTCGGCAACAGTCTCTATCCAACGCAATAAATTATGAAGCATAGATGCCCCAGTTAACAAAAAGCGGAGACCTAGGCTTTGGCCGTAATCCAATTATGCATAAACCGCCGCAGTTGGCGGTGCAACAAACACAGAGTTCGTCACGTGCGGCCTCCAGAAAAAAAGCCAACGAGTTGGAAAACAACAATGCTTTCACCCGTTTGCTTGCCCCAAGTAGGCGCGTGGGCGCGCGTCTAGTTTAAGCGACTCAGCCTCTAACCGGCACTCGGCCTCACCCATCCAGTCGTCACGCCCTCCGAGTCTCGTGACCGCCTGAGCACCTGAATGCGCCGGCCACCACCACTACTACGGCTGCTGCGTCCTCCTCCTCCACCTACGCACGTAAGCAGGCAATACGACACGCCCTGTGATAAACTGCAGACGCACTAGTTCCCAAAACAAACGTGGACACAAAGTACGCACGCGTGAGCTCCCCCTTTACCGGCGTTAGCAACCGGTACGCCTACGTCACAACGCCTCGGACAGTCCAAGATGTTCTTATCATTGCTTGAGCAAAGTAGTTTTGAGTTCGGTCATGTGATTTGCGCTTGACAACTCGTAAATTGACTTTTATTCACTGGTTTGACTGTCATGTGTATGTAAAATTAGTCGTCACACGCACACACAGCAACACCCAGTGGATGTGGCCTTATTGACATCTCCCTTTTCCGTGAGTTACATCATGTCTACGTGGCTTCGAACCCCACATCAAGGCCTCCTAACCAGTGCCTCAAGCTCTTTAAAAGACACCCTGCATCAGAAGGCCCGGGTTGGACAGGAGGGTACGGTGTGTGGTAATACTGGACCGATCGTATTAACACCAGATCTGACCGTCAGAATTCGATGAAACGAGTTTACGAACACGCGTGATGGATCCCCACTAGACCTCGCACCCATCGATCATGTCCAGGTGAGAGAATCGAATGACAGTTGATTGTGGTAGAGAGATAGAATTTCTGTAAAAATGCTTCTAGACACTAATTTCAATTTATAATAGTAAAATAAGAAATATCAACCCCTAACCCCTGACTACAATTTTGTTAGTTCATGTTAGTCAAAACTCTGGCAATTACAGAACCAAGACAAATTCCTTTTTAGTATTGCTGTAGAGGACTGAGCCCATACACAAAATTGGATATAATCTCACAGCCGCAAGACTTACGTGGGTAAAGTTGAGTCAGTGAGTTACCGAGGTCTACGATTTTCAGATCATAATCAATTTCGCATCGAATCAAAGCCTCCAAGACTGATTAAATCGGATTCATTTCCAAACACCGACTTTCTAAGGTCGAGTTCCACACAAGCAACTACACGTGTACGTGCCAGGCCGCAAGTTCAACGTATTACCACATTTGATCGGCTTCACTACCCGGATTAATGCTGAACCGACTAAATTATTCAGAGCAACGAATTCTATAAACGGCAACTACCTTTGCGCATTCCTCCTAGGTTTTTCCGTAACTTGAAACTTGCTATGATACAGTCGACGCTACACATGTTTCTACATTGCAAATTTGTGCCATCTAATTTAAAATGATGTCATCTAGATCTGTTACTCCATGTCAGTCTTAAAAAAGACCTCACGCTATTTGTTGCATAACGATCGGGATGGATGAGAACCCGGACGGAGGCAGGTCTATGACCAATCAACTGAGGGTGCACTGCGAATTCTGTCGAATTGCAGGATGTCGAAACGTCTATGAGTCTGCTTTTCCTGCATCTATAAAGCTTCACAGACGTTTTCGTTAGTTGAAGAAAACTCCTCACAGGTTGTGGTTATCAAGGACCTGTAAAGTAAGGCTTAATTAATTACCTCATTTTGAGTAATCGTTGTGAAGGGAATGATCACAACGCCAATCCCTCGCTTGTTCCACCCATTCCATTAGAATGGACAACTTGACGATTAGTCATGCAATCTTAACATCGCAAGCTTCAAGCGTGAATTAGCATATCGACTGCCTGGAAGTGTAAACTGTCCAATCCAATTAAATTACATCCTGTTACCTCGGTTCCGCAATCCCACCATTAGTCCCTAATAGCAGTCTTCGTCAACAAACCTTTTCTGCTAGGAGTTAAAATAGCGACACTCGGGACAGGAACGCGTTAAATTCAATTAACGTTGACAATTTCACAAAAGCATATGTTGTCGACGCGAAACCAGTTTGCCTGTGAGACTTGGTCACGGGGAGAGTGCTTGCGTACCGAAGGAATTTCCACGTTCGGTGCCTCCTCTACAGTTAGAGTGTCCACCGTAAATCCGCAGAATTTAACGGCTCTGTGATACCTTCGTACTACGTGCCGGTATGCAGGTCGTGTTGATCATCCAGCAGCTTCTAAGTTTCAGCACGAGTGCGTCGACCTACATGGATTTAATCTGGCGCAACTATTAAGTTTGTTCAAACACGTTCACAGAAAACCTACATTTTCATTTACTGAAGTTTAATGATCTCGTTTAAATAACCACACATATTTAGGGATATATAAACGTATTATGTGTTTCGATCTGATCATTGACTAGGAGGTGTGATCGACAAATTGAGAAGGGCTGATGAAATTGTACATCTGTTTGATTCCCACCCTCTTCTAAAAATCGATATTTAAAGGAGACGCTGTCCAGTCGCCTTAGTCGTGGTTTGAAATTTTTAACGTCATATGGCACAAGATGGCAAGTGTTTTGCTCGAAAACGCGGTTAGTCTTGTGAGTAGCACAGCGCCAACATCGCAACTCTCAGTGGATTTCCATAAATGCATAAGGAATGCCTTCACAACAAGTAATTCACTCCTTTAAATGGCTTGGAAAGAAATAGACGCAGGACCTCCATTCAACGGTACGTTACGCCTGAGTTGAAGTACCGTATTTCTAGAGAGGCAGTCCATGAAATAACAAAATAATGGGCGCGTAGAATTGTCGAGATAAATGCTTGCAGCGTTTTTAGAAACTAATAGAGAATAAGAACTAACCGTTATTCTTAGCTGACAGCCATGGTCTTTCAATTGAGTGTAGGAATTTTTTTAGCATAGGTTCTACCTAGAATTCGTCTCAATTGTCTGCCGATTAAATTAGACGTGGGGCATGAGGTTCGGTCTATAGTAGTCCAAGGTTTTACCACCCAAAACCGAACTAACGTAGAATCACGAAATCCCAAAGGATACGTTAGGTTACGTAAGCGCAAGTCCAATTAACCAAACACAGTGTTACTGGATTTTGGATTTCAGATAGACCGATAAGCGAGAGTCGGCCTGAGAAACTAACTGCAGGCTGTACACGTGTCAAATAAATGCTTGTGCCCAGTCATCTGTTGTCCCACCATTAATGCTTCCCTATGTCCAGACCACTTGACTCGTTCACCCGTGTATAGACCCACTTGAGGCCCATCGACAGCTCATGTTTATACAGCCAATATTTACACGCACACTTACCAATGTCGGTAGACATTCCATGTCTAGACGCAGATTTGCGGTTGTTTCCAACTCAAATCGAAGCCCATTCTTAATCTTCTGGCGTTCAACGGGCACCCTCCAGGTCTCTAAACAAGTCGGTAAGATCGACGTGGACTACCACACGTACGCGCACATCACGAATCATCCCTCGAATCTATAAATTCCGCACCATTTTTAAATCAACTTTGGATCGATCCGGTGGGGCCGACATTATTCAAATAAAATGGTTTACATGTAGGATAATCCAAAATGGGTGGCCTTCGAATCTTTGAAGTTTACATCCTGAAATACCACAAGATAGTTGTCTAAATGATAAAACATTATTTTTTACAACAATTCGAACCAACGTAACTTCGTATTCGTTTTGCTGTAAACTAAGATTAATTGCTTTGCAAATTTAGGAATTTGATCTGATTTAATCTAGCATTTGAGATGAATACCTTAATTGGGACAAAATTGGCACGTTGACGACATTTATTTGCTAAACCGTCGCTTTTCAAACAAATTCATCAACCTGAGCCTGTAGAAGTAAAAATAATGGAAAATTTCCAATAACGAGTACAAATAAAACTGAGCATTCCCTGTGTTCGAATCCTATTCTCGTCGATGCAGTTTAGCTAGGTTGAATGCAATATTCATTGGGAGATTCATGGAGACGAATTTGACTGTTTCAGATGCATTACTGCTTGCTTCAGGGAGTACTTGAGCAGTCTGTATTTTTTTAGTGAAGCAGATGTCGGTACTAGATAATCGGGGTGCCTCAGCCCCTCACATATCCTCTCCATTCACCTGGTTGACTTTGAGTCAAGTCAACTGCAAAATTTAGTAAATTATGGCTCTTCACCCTCGAATCGATGCGTTAAAATTTTCTTGTAAGTGTTTAAATGATTGGCGTCAGCTGATCGTTAATCACTAATCGATCGATAATTCAGTCAAGTGACTTTATGCGATGCTGTTTGTGTATTGCTTATCGTTGCTTTAATTCTCGTATGCAGACGATAAAATTTGGACACATTTTAAAAAATTGTTTTCTACATAAACGAAAAACGAACCTTCTCTGTCGCATTTTCGACTAACGAAGACCCGGCTACACGATCTTACAGTCAGTTGGTAGCCACGGCGACTCTTTGGAATGTCCGTGAATGTTGCCAGCTCCGAAAGATTGCTGATGGTAATTTCTGTATCTTCATAGATATCGAATGTTCCGTTTGCATTAAACATCCACAAGCTGGAAAAAGGTTTAACCAAAGATGCGGTAAGTCAGATTTAATGCCATTTTCAATCTGCAGTAAATTGACTGGTGAATACCACCAAACAATTCCGAGAATATAGACAAAGTAAAGCCAAGAATGTCTACAAGACTTTATTCCAGGTATTCAAGGTGTCAAGTCTTGATCAACAACCACGTATACGATCTTAATTGGTGCAAGGCAAGGATTCATCATTTACACAAGGCATCACCTATTGATAATGACTGGCCCAAAATTAATTGAATAAAAGCATTCCTGGGATCGATTTTATGATCGATGGAACTATTGGCTTGTGACTAGAAGCATTGTGAGTTACCGGCCGGGATTCTATGAAAGTTTAATAGGAAATGCGTAAGTTCTAAATTTCTAGGCTAGGTCAGAGGTCAGTTATCTTCTCTGCGACCCCCAAAGCATGGGATTCTGGGACGGATGTTAATGCGCATTAACAATTTTCTGATGTTTGTTAGCACGTGGCGATCTATGGCAATAATTGAGAACTTCTGACGACGTTATGGGTTTCCGAATCACGTGATAATTACGATGCACACTGGTCAAACACCTCATTGTGTTTGCTCAAATCTCTCGGTAGAAGTCTATTTATAGAAACACGACTGCTATGGGGAACCGCAGGTTGATGTGGTTTTGTTCGAAGGTATTAGCATGGTTAGTTTATTCAATGCAATTTAAAAGGGTATTCTTATCCTACCTAGCTGTTGATATAGTAAATACTCAATCGAAGACTGGTCACCGATCCCGCTCATTAAATTCCCCATCTCATCTGCTAGCTTTTTTAATTTTCGCTATTCTAGTGTGTTCCTTCGTCCACACCTGCTTGGTGGAAGCCGATGAGCAACATTCACGGTAAGAGTTTGGTGGCATCCTTGGGAATCTTCAGTCTGAAGAAGACTCGGCCCATGAAATTTCATTGAAAAATGCAGTTCTTGATAAGTGCTCGATAAGTTTAGGCCTCTGGTTTGACCTTCATGCACCTATCGATTCCATCATGAGGAAACTGGAGGTAGTGGTGGGAGCTAAGGAGGTGTCATTTTTGACGGTTGCGCAACAGAACTTCTCTGGACTGGAATCTGTCATAACAGGAAGGGGCCGACATGAGTCATGGACAGGCATTGTGTTCGGTGCTGCTATCGCCCTTAACCCACTTTCCATCACTTGCAGACGCGACCACCCTGTGGGGCAGACCACACGCACACGTACACCCGCAGAGAAGGTAAGAAAGGGAAACATTTACGATGAGGGGGTGCACTCGTGTGTGCGTGTTTGTGCTGTCCTGAATAGGTTCAGAATTAGCACCACTTCAAACGGAGACACGAGAACTGGAGTTTCCTTTGCATTCGGAGGTGTCTCATGCGAATCCAACGCATCGCGCTGAGTCTTTGGACATTCATCTGTTCGCATAACTGTTCCTTATTGTTCACTCCACCACAACCGCATTTAGGAGCAAGTAGCAGGAACTCTTGGACCAGTACACACCGAAATTCCGTTGGATTACAGTATTTTGTCCGGATTTTAGATCGTGAAAATCCACCCGCTGCCAAGCGAAGCCTACTTGCTTGTTGGCTTGTTTTCGAATTGCCGCGATTACCTCAAAAGGCACAGCTTTTATTGTTGCGACCAACACAGAATCCATACACAAGTCGAAATTCCCCATTCATAGATACTAAGAAAGGCGGCAAAGTTGTTCCTGTCTTCATGTTGAACAAGTTTAATTGGGAACTGATGCTTGGTTTGGTGCAGACACAGAGTCAAATGTAATTTCTTCTTTACGAAAAATATCATTAATCGTGTAAGTCAGGCTATTTTTTTTCCTTCCATCAGGGTGACAATTATGGAAGCTCACTAGTGGGGTGATTCGTGGTTTCCTAACGTAAAGCATTATCTGTTGAAAATGGTCGTACCTACTAAAACGGTTGACCAACATTTACATGAACTGTTGCTCTGGACCCGAGTACAATTTGGAATTCTATGCTGGAACTGGCGACGTGGAATCTGGCCATGGGAGCACAAGGCCTTGTTGGCAGTCGAAAACGCCTCATGGAAACATGAGTTCATTTTTACATTGATAATTATTCATGGTATTTCAGTTTGAGTTTGCGAAGTCCTTCATCGGAACCTTGTCTTGAAGCATCGAAGTTATTTTCCTTTGTCATTCAGGATCCGACTCCTAGGAACCTCGTTTGTTATGGGAAGCTGAAACTAGATCTAATCCCATCTTAAACAGAAGCTGTGCGTTAGCCCTCTTGGTGTCAGATAATTTAGTTTCCGGTTGATATAACCAGTGGACATTGATCGATGTCCATTAGGCGAACGTATTCACGTTTAGTGAAAGTTACAGGTAGAACTGTCCACATGGAGGCTTGGATTATGGATAGAACCCTTCCCCCCAAGACAAAAACGGTCTCATCTGTAGGGCCAAACGAACGTTGTGTGAGACCACGGTCTCCAGGTCGCCTGAACGGCAACACACAGTCATGCATGGCCACGTTCTCTTCATTCTTTCCGCACTATTATTTATGCCTCACTGTGAGTCACCCGAATGCACGCAGGGTGCCAGGAATTGCATGCAAGCACACACACACACTCCACAAGAGCCCTCATGAGAAAAATCTGCAATTCTCATGAAGAGGGTTAACAATATCCATCACAGGATCCCATGGAAATAACGGCTAGGCTAGTGCCAGAACAGGAGCCGTGTGTATTTGGCATTTGGACTTGCCATTCTGTGACTGCAAGTCAGCTGTTCTTTTACTTGACTCTTCTGCATCGTCCTGATTCGTATTTGGGATCGGGCGAACGAGTTTCTGGGGGTTGCTTCATCGCGGAGGGCCACTGAAGTACCAGGTTCGAAAAGCTTGTGGTGGTAAGGCTCATTTGCGCGATTCCAGAGCAGAATTAAATACTGAGCTCCCGTGAGAGTCGTTCCCCACTTCAGTGCCAGTAGCCGGCCTTTTAAAATTTCGGTCACACGAAATGGCAAGACGTACAGCGGTGTTTATTCACAAAAAATTAGCGAGACTTGTGGAGGTTTAAAGCTCTTTCTGGCACATTTACAAGTGGTGATTTGACTAAATTCAGCCTTTGATCACACCGCGAATTTCAAACCAGCCAACGTTCGACATCTAGGCATTAACGCAAGAGTAATCAGAAAGTTTGGAATCCTTGAATGAAGCAAGTAATTATAGTCAATTGGCTTTCCGTGTTGAGGTTCCAGGTGAGTCGAGTACGCTGGCCAAGGTTAATTGTTGTCGAAGATCACAATGCAGTAGGTCGATTCAGGATGAAGATTGCGTCTGGATCTCCAATTACAGAAGCCTGGAATGGGTTTCGAACCCACAACAGAGATGCCTATCCGTCGGAAATGTACTCTATTAGACTAAGAAGGTCAAAGAGGCCGGGAAGTAACCGTTTATTGGGTTGCTGTGTTCATACAGTCCTTATGGAACTGTCCGCAGTGCTGAGAAGGGCTAGAACGAATAGACGCCCTAATTAACCGACCTGATTGAATCGCCAAGGCGTTTGGGTAAGCGTAGAGAGCAATGATAGGCATGAATCAACACAGCTACTGGAAATTCTGTCAAACGGCTCCATCTGTTGCCCACCACTGAAAACCATTTTCGAGCAAGTTGTTTAACTGTCTTTTCTGTGATGACTCATCGGCCTATCTGTACCTTACGTGATTGGACTTCTCGGAGGCGCTGATGAAAAAGGCAAGCGTCGAAGCACTTTAGCAGTAAGTTTACATCTGTAGTCGCAGCTTGGAAACTCGGAAAGCTGGAGACGAGCGTTCAGCAGATTGGATCCTTCCTTCGGGAGTATTTGATGACTCAATTCTAATAGATGACATAGGTAATAGGGTTCGTTAAAGGCGAAGAGGGAGCCGGATGGACACGGTTTAGGTTTACGACTAGCGTGTCTTTTCAACTTGTTCGTGCATTTCGCTTTTCAAGTCTTAGCTGCCAAGCGTACCTCCACGCCAAATCACGTCCAATTTGCCGAATTGAATTGATGCAACTTGTACAAGAACTGGGCGCAGCCGAAGTACGCAGTCAGACCCAGTGGGGGTCGAAACTGCGGTGAAGGTCGTTCGTCCGCAAGCGGATGACCTGAAATGTGCCAGCATGACCTGCCGATATCTGCGCATCTCTCTTTCCTTCCCCCCTCCCCCAAATTGCATTAATTGCGCGTGTGTGGTTGTGAGTCAGTTCATGCAGTTTGACCTCGTGGCTGATGACCGAAGATGACGCATCAGGGAGTCACGTGAGTAATGGGATCGGGTGCGCCCAATCGTGCCTGCTAATCGGCACGACCTTAGACGCCTCGGTTGCGGTGGGGATTCACTCCAGGCTTGGGACACAACCTCCATGTAAAGTCGCTTCCCATGAACTTCTGGACGAAGGGCTTGGAAAGATTCACGCGTGGAAGCAATTCTAGCCTTTGAAAATTATCCGCGGAAGCATTTCATATACATTCATAAACCCGGGAGTTAATTTACATCACTGATTCAAAAAGATTATAACTGCGAATTGAACAGTAGTAAGTTGGAACGTGTAGAGGAACTTGATAATCTGTTCCATCACGATAGATCTGTCATCTTGAACCAGCAAATAACCAGATTTCAAGCCGTCAGAATTTTTAGTGTCTAGTTAGATCTGACGAGACACATTGATCCAATTTAAGTGACTAAATTGTGGTAGTTAGGAGGTTTTCGTGAATTCATTCCAACCTGTGCAACGTTTGCTTCGACTTGGATTCGTCACTCACGGGAGCTGCAGCAATTAAGAACTTCATGAGAACGCAACTACGTTATTGGTGGCAAGAATTCATAAATTTGGTGAAAGATAAGCCCATTGGCATTGTTGAAACATCGGTCAGGAGTTGGTGGGACGTTTCCAATGTTCCGAAGAATTATAATGACGAAAGAGTTCTAGCTTCATTTGCGGATCTAGTCACCAG